AATCCCATGTATTGTTTATACCATTTGGGGTCATTATATCAATGAGTGTCTTGTGTTGCAAGGCCATGTATGGTTAGCCTAAATAATAATTGACAAATTAATATACTTATTATTACAAAGACAGATAGTAATCTGAAAATCACACTGATTATCCCATTTAATCCTCAATTTCACTCTATAAGATTACCTTTTAATCAACTGGCAAATTCCAGCTTAGGGATGCAATTAACTTACCTAATGTATGACTTCAGAGCCTGAGTTCCGAATTAACTATACTCATTTGATGTCTAAATGCTGGCATAGTGAGCTTCTGAGTTGGTAAAGAAGGTAGGTGCAAGGGGCTTCCTTATAGGATTTAGCATTCCTTGCTGAAGACTCGAGATCTGCCTGCACACCTAGGTAAGCAAGCATCCCTCAAGTAGGAATGGCAGTTCCATCACAGGGTTAAGTGGTATCTCCAGCCCTACCTCTTAAAACACATAAGCTTTGTCCAAGATGGAAAGTGTGGAAGCATACAGCCTCCCTGAGAGAAAGGAAATAGAGACGGGAAGATGATCAAGTTCCCGGAATTTCCTCCTCAACTCTGCTGTCACAGGGTCCTGTCCTTGGCCAATGCTTCTCTCTTTGTAGACAAAGACAGCACAGGGAACTATTGAAATGAATGATAAACAGGGCTGGTGGTGGTGCTGGTGACTGGCAGAAAGTCCATGGTCACAACAGAAACCGGTTGCTTAGTAGCGGAGAGCTTTATTAGGAGGAGGGACCAAAGGACCAGACCTGGGGAGGAAAAAGAGAGAAAGATGGGGCAGAGAGAGCTGAGCAGAACGGGGGAGAGAGAAAGAGAGAGGGTGGGTCTGCATCAGGCATTTTTAAGGAACAGATTGTGACCATACCACACATAGGTGACATAAGATGCAAGACCCTTTACTTAGCTCCTGAACTGTGCATGTGCAGTCATGTAGTTGGAGTGAGGGCAGAATTCCAACAACTATGACTTCAAGTCAAACCAGAAGAGGAAAGGCAAGAACATTTACGAAATGAAGAGAAAAGTCCTTCAGGTGAAAACTGTTAACTAAAGGAGAGGTTAAAGGAAATGACATTTCACTCAACCTTAGCACCCACTGATACCTGGTACTTGTCATGTTAACAATAGTGTTTTCAGAGAGTGAAAACCAAACAAAACCATTACTCATGGGAGGAAATTAGGATTTGTGGGCTGTACATCTGTTTTTGTTGCTGTTGCTTGTTTTATTTTTCTGTTTTCTGTTTACTTTTTTTCTTTTCTTCCTTTTTTTTAGGTTGAAAATAAAAATAAAATGTTAAGTTCTTTGGGGCCACTGGTAGGAAATGTGGACAGCTTGTGGTGAGAAGCCAGGCCCCAGATAGGAATCCTCATGTTATTTCCCTCCCTCTCAGTGAAGAGGGAGAAAAGGCCAAGCGGTCCTCCACACCCAGGAGGAAACTCCCTCTTCTGTACAGCTTGGCACCTGCTGAAGAAACTCTCTAAGTGAAACCCACAACCCGGAGCATTCTTAGACACTGGCTAACCCTCAACCCCTTCCTAGCATGAGCTGCCTCTAAGGAGAACATGGAAAATAATGTCACACCACTCATAGAAACCCTACTGGATGTCCAAACAGCTCATTTCGCAATGCACTTCCCAGACTGATTAGAGCCACTGGCCTCACCAGTGTCACAGGGCCCTCAACAGTGACCATTTAGTCAGGAACTTTGGAGCCACCTCCGGCCTCCAATGGCCAAAGCCAACCGATATATAGTTATGGAGATGGCCTCAAGAGGACAACACCTACTAAAATGGTCTACTTGTGTGACGGTTGGCCTGCAGGACTCAGTGGCCAGAGGGTTGAGGTGACTATAGCCATCCTAAACATCTTTCCCCTAGGATGTTCACCAGCATTCAGAGAGCCCAGCCAACCCCTGTAAGTGGGCAGTAAAGGAGTAAAGAAAGCAGGCAGACAGCTTAGCACTTGAGCAGGGCCATTTTTTTTTCTGTTTCTCACTTATCTTTGTTCTTCATGGTAGAGTGGGCCTCCCTGTCCCCAAGTTCCACTTTCTACAATTTTAATCACATGTGATCAACTGCCAAACTACTAAATGGAAATCTGCAGAAATGAATGATTCTCACATTTGAAATAACTGTTAATAACACATTACCACACTTGTTCTATTTACTATTATAGCCAATATCTCACTGGGCCTACTTCATATACTGTGTCTACTTTATTGTAGCTGTGTTTATGTAGCAAAAAAAAAAATCTAGTATTTATAGATTTGAGGACTATAGGCAAGTACAGACATATACTCAGGGTCCCAGATGTGACCCCTGTAGATAAGAGAACTCTACAAAGTAAAGGTTGGACAGACATGCATTACACCTTTGAGCATTGTCTTCTTGTCCTCAGCGTTACATCATAGATAGTGTTTCCCTGTCAATTAACCTGGATGCTCTGCCTCTGCTTTGCTTTAAAGTTGCACTCTGCATATAGAATGTGGTTCTCTGCTCAGCAATGAGTTATCTTAACAACTTCCACCATTACATCTCTTTAAATCCTAGCTCCCCTCTCTTCTAAATGGCATCAATATCTGGGAGAAAACCAGGAAAGTTTGAAGGATTCCTGCAATCCTTCAATATGACTGGCTATTCTGGGAGGGAGTCCTTGCTACTTGGATTTCTGTTGCTATGTGAATGGAGTCCAGAAAGAAAGGTGGCATCTTCTGTCTCTGAAGAATAGGTTGATCACATAGCTTTGCACCAATGCATTCTGGCGATCCCTCTCTGCCTCTGTACCTCCAGCTGCTGATTAAAGACTGACTCACCACCTCCCTGTGCAGCATAAAGGTCTTTCTCCCTTTGATCACTGCTTCCCTGAATTTTACGTGTGCTTCCTCTCTCCGAGCTTATTACGTTCACTTGACAGTGCATGGGTTTTATTAAAATGAAGATATTGTATGATTTAGAAAACAAATTCTAGTTCAGATTCCCAAGAACATAGAACAATACACTTCTTTGATTTTCATTTCTACTTCTAACCATAGGAACCTGGGTGAAACCACTCATACAGTGGAAATCTGGTGTAGCTAGAGTTTTCCTGCCTTGCCTACAGTCAGGACAAATCTCTATCACCCGCCAGTCCCACAGCTGCTCAGACCCGACCAAGTAAACACAGAGACTTACATTGCTTGCAAACTGTATTGCCGTGGCAGGCTTCTTGCTAACTGTTCTTATAGCTTAAATTAATCCATTTCCATAAATCTATACCTTGCCACGTGGCTCGTGGCTTACAGGCATCTTCACATGCTGCTGGTCATGGTGGCGGCTGGCAGTGTCTCCTTCTGCCTTCCTGTTCTTTCTTTTCTCCTGTTAGTCCCGCCTATACTTCCTGCTTAGCCACTGGCCAATCAGTGTTTTATTTATTGACGAATCAGAGCAATTTGACATACAGACCATCCCACAGCAATCTGGAGCAGTCACATGGTCAGAGCTGATTTCCAGAGGTCAAGCTGAAGGACAAACCCTTACCCTCCCCCTTCTGCCACCCAAGTAAAAGCAAAAACCATGTGCTGACTTCAGGTCATACTTCAGGACATGATTTTTGACATCTGGAAAACAGTAATGTCTGTTGACAACACCTTCTCTAATATCCCTCCCAGCTCAAAAATACTGTCTTCTGTTCAACTTTTACAAGTATTCATCCATGTAGAAGACACCGCGACAACCAATGAAAAGAAAATTGCCAGGCGGTTGTGGCGCATGCCCTTTAATCCAGCACTCGGGAGGCAGAGCCAGGCAGATTTCTGTGAGTTCGAGGCCAGCCTGGTCTACAGAGCGAGATCCAGGACGGGCACCAAAACCACACAGAGAAACCCTGCCTAGAAAAACCAAAAAAGAAATTGGTGAAAGCCACGTAAGTACAATAAGAAGGAAAACAGTGAGGAAAAAGTCACAAGTAATAGATGGGCAAGAGGTAAACTGATTGAACTATCCTCCCTTGTCCTTTGAGCCATTAGAATAAACACACATGTCCATGTGTACACGTGATTCACAGGCACGTTTCCCGGCCCACCCGAAGAAACACAGGGGCACCTAGGGCTTAAGAGAGTCCGAGAAATTCTCAGCAACAGGGAGCGTTTGCTGGTGGCCTTTAAAGATGTGTTTGATTCCATTGGGTGGGCCTAGTGAAGGTGGGTGAAGCAGTAAGGGCAAATGGATATTTATTGAACTGATTGATGATCCCATGTGTAGCTATCTGGCATAGTTAGTAACATTCTAGACATGCTCATTCTCCTGTAGATGCCCAGACAGAAGAGGGAAAGAGCAAGGAAGGAGGAGAGATAAAGTGGTTGGTCAAATTGGCAAGCTGAAGTGTCATGTTCAAGGTCAGCTTTGGAATCATCACCATGAAAAATTCAACTGAAGAATAGTTACTAAATTCCAAGGCAAAAACATCACAAACTACGAATTCACAGCAGATAAATACTATTATTCATGTCAATGCTAATTCACTGTGGCTCTTATATTTCTAAAATTTATTTTTAAATTAACACTTTAATTATAAAAATAGTGTATAAATTCATTGTTTAAAGATTGACTTTTATAGTGCAGATCACATCTATTAATATCACTGATTAAATATAACAATGTTGCAACAAATTTTACCTCTCATTTGAGGTATATTATTGTACCTTTGAAAGTAAGAGTTTGTTAAAAAAAAATAATCAAAGCCAAGTGCATTCGATTTGCAAGGTGGCTGACATGCCATGGAATCTTTGTCAAAGTGTCCCAATCTGAAAACACAAGGAACAGAGTCAAATGACTTCAAAGATTCCTGCTAGTTCTAATCGATTGTAAGTTGCACATGCATACAGCCGATAGGAATTACTGACCAATCATGAACAGTTCTTGAAATATGACATAGCTCAGATGGTTAAAATGAATTCTCCATGATTAATTCTTTGTTCTTTGGGTTTTTTTTTTTCCCCACAATGAGTTTTCTTAATGGCTGCCATCATTACCTATCTCCAATCCCAGCACTGCCCCACTCCCACCTCCTTAATGTCTGGAAGAAAACCAGGAGAGCTTGGTAGATTTCTGTAATCCTTAGATATGGCTGGCTCTTCTGAGAAGGAGTTCAGTTTTGTTACACACAAAGGCACAAGACAAGTATGTGGCTCAGCCTTCAAGTCTGCTGTGAAAAGCCATCCTGTTGTTATATATATAGGTGTCCAAAAGCTTCAAAAAAATGCAAACTCAATAGCTCTGTTGTCAACTGTGAGAATTTTTGTTTTATGGTAATGGAATAGGGACTCTGGGATGACCCAGCATCCTTAGAACAGTGAACTATTTTCTATGGAGCAAAGGACTGTGGGATTTGTAGTGTTCTCTGCTATGTCTGTGCTCAGCTATCCATCTGGACCTGGTTGCTGATGTCTCCTCCTCTGTCTGCTCTCCAGATTCATACTCCTCATCTACTGCATAGAACAGTGGCTTTGGCCGGATGACATCCCTCCTGCCCCATCCGGCGTGTTCCTCCCAGCTGGTATGGCTTCTTCGGTGGCTGAAGCTAAGCGCCTTCTCTCCTCTGTGTAAGCTCTTCATGGGGATCATCGCCTGAGTCTGATGTCTTTCCTGAAGGGACCCCGCTCGTGAGTGTGCACGGAACATCAAGGGCAGGAATCCTGGATCCATACCATCATCATCTAAGGAGACATGATGACAGGAAGGGAAAGAAAACTTGAAATCAGAGTTAAGACTTCGTGCCCAGACGGCAAGGATGTTCAAGACTGAAGCTCCTGCTCTTAGCTTTATGGTCATCGTGACTTTCCCTTTCAACACCACAACCCCAGCGAACCAGGAGGGCAGTGCTATATGCTTACTACTACAAATAAGTGGGGATGCATAAAAACCTGTGCATCTAGCCAGTCTCCCTAGATGAGTAGCAGAGTACCTTTTCACAATAGTGGATTAATAATAACATCAAGCATATACTAAAAAAAAAATGTCTTCTAAAAGGTAAATGCTATACTAAAAGTTCCATAAAAATAGTTGGTTTTCACCCTGTTTGTTTCTGTTTTGTTGAGACAAGGTCTCATCCTGTCATGCAGGATGGCCTTGTGTTATCTTCCAAAGTGTCGAGATTACAGGGCTGAGCCCCATGCCAGGCTCTTGGTTTGATGCTTCATGGGCAGCTGTCTAAAAGCTCTTCTACTGAGTTTCACGGCTTTGACCTTGGAAATGTAACCTTGAGGACAACAGAGATGGGAGGGGCAGAGATCCACATTGACAGATGCTCCTCTGTCAATGGAGTAGATGATGAGCAGACTGCAGTAGTACATGATGACGTAATGAGGCTGAGAGCCTGCCCTCATGGGGGAGGGACCATGTGCCTGCCTCTGTCCTACTCATTTTGCACATTTTATGCCACTTAATCAACTTAATGGCCCTATGAGATGTGTAAAACTATTGTCCTCACATCATATGGAAAGTGCCTAGAGTTGTTCTTCAAGATGAGGTGACTTTCAATATGATATTGCTGGTAAAAGTGGGATTGGAGCCATTCTTTTGTATCCTCAGGAGGTATACTAAAATTCACACATCCTCCAGTCTCTCATAGAAAATTGCACAGTATTTGCATATAACCTATACACATCCTACAGTTTAATTTAAATAATCTCTAAACTACTTATAATATAGAATACATTGTAAATGCTACACAAATAGTTGTTATATTGTGTTTTGGGGGGAAAGGGGTGAGAAAAAAGTCAACTTAGATGCAGAAGACAACTGTACATACCACATATATGTTGCTAAGGCTGTGTTATGGGGGACAGGACCACCAGGTATCCATGTGATACCCTGCTTTTGAGTTATTTCAAGTTTTTTTTCCATTCCTAAAACACAGTGCCCTTTCCTCCACTTCAACAAAGGACTTTTTTCATAAATGTCATTTAATGTTTCCTCCAAGATTTAGACTGGTGAATTTATTTTTCCCTTACATCTCCTCAGAATTTCAATATTTTCAGGTATTTATTTATAAACCTGAAAACTGTTCTTTCTCCCACATTCTATTCCCTCCCCCTAAAAAGGCAAAAAGAAAACAGAGCCAAAAGAAACCACATAAAATTAATACTGTATGCCCAAAAGTTTGTACTTGACAAAAATGTGCATATATTACTGACACAAGAAAAGTGTAAATCCCTGTTGAAAAATGTTTTGCCAAAATGCAACCAAATCATCATAGGCAGGTAGCTGGGGGCTAACATAGGGGATGCTCTGCTGGAGGTAAAGATGATAGCATAATCCATTTTCTGTCACAATTACCATTTAATTTGTGCTGAGTGGAGCTTGAACCTCAGTTCCTCCAGATCCTTTGCCATTTGGGAGACTCTCTGAGGTGTGGACACTTCCTTCTGTCTACAAATCTTGTCCCTGTTTCATTCTCCCCACTCCTTCTGACTACTGGAACTCCCCATGAGTGGAAAGTGTAGCTGGTCTCTCTACCTCCTTTTAGGTTAATGCAAAGTGAAGCATTTAGAAGAGGCTCCACTTGCAAAGTTGAGCTCAAGGTAAGTGACTAGTTCTGCCCAAAATGGGAAAGAACTTTCTGTAATGCAGAAGGTGGAATGAGAAAGGATGGGGACTGTACTTGGCCCTCTTTCACGTGTCTACCTGCAGGTGAGCACCCAGTCCTGTCGTCTGAGGGAAGAACAATGGCTACCTCTCAAGCAACATGTGAATGCTAACCTTCCACCAGACTAACAGGCTTAACTACCAAAGCTAAAAGAGACAACAGAGAAAGTACTTCTGCTTGGGACAGGGTGGAGCCAAACCCACAGGGGATTAGCTATTTGATACAAGGTACATTGTCTAGTGACTCAGACCCAGAGATCAGTACTTCCTTATTGCTGGATTTTCAAAGATGTAGAGGTATATACATATATTTAAAAATATATTCTATATATAAATGAAATGTATGTATACACATATGTATATATGCACACGCACACACACATATATATATATATACATATATATATATAAACATTTCAGCCATTTCCAAGTACAGTTCAATGGCACTAAGAGCTTTCCTGCTTCTGTATAATTCTCACTGCCATCAATCTCTAATTCCATAGGTTTAGAGCTGTCTCACACATAAAAGGTGTTTTAGGATGGGGATCCCCGTAATTGTAATAAAACATGAACCTCAAAGGTAAAGGAGCCCTGAAAGAATATGCAGGTCTCTAAAACCATCATGGAATTCAAAGACACCCTTGTCAGGGTCAAGCAAGCCTTGGTGGGTCTGCATGGAGCTAGGCAGGAAAGTGTTTTCATGGACTCGCATTGGTTGGCCAGACTACCTGGTTGAGGAAACCATGCCGCCTAAGGTCTTCAAGCTAGAATATCCCTCTTCTCTTGGTATTTGGACAGAAGGTGCTCTCAGATAATCAAACTGTTAGCCAAACATCGAGGACTCTCTTCATTTCATTGTGATTGCTTCTATAATCTTTTTTTTTGGGGGGGGGGTTCATTTTTGTTAATTGTTGTTACATATATATTGCTAAATATATAAATACAACCTGCTCAGTCTGGCTAATCTTACCTGGATGTATATGTTTTCAGAGATGAGCATTTGGCATTGGAAAATTAATTGGTGTGCTGTTCCCTAGCCTATCTATTGATGTCATCCTGTTCATATCATGGCTAGGCAGCTATGTTAGTGAGACTTCATGAGTGAGACTTCCTGAGTGTTGCTTCCGACATTTACCACAATCCTTTAAAACTTAAGGGTGACTGGTGAGTTAAATTTCATTACCTTCTTCTCTGGTCCAACCACTTTCATCTGAATGAAATTTAGAACCTAATTGACACATTAGAAAGAAAGGAAAAAAGAAGAAAACAAACACCCTCAGAGATTAATATATTACTCCAACTCTGCATTAATTCATGGGAAGTAAGCATTTTGGAGAGTTCTTTTCCTTCCCAGGAATATGAGTATCACTCATGTCAAATCTTCCTCCCTCATCAGTAACAACCATGGATAGTATTTCCCACATGCATAGTTGACTACAAGCCTCTTCTAACAGCCTTATGATTCATGCTCATGTGTGTACCCTGTGTCTCTGTGCCAGCTTCATGTCTAGTCAATGCTGTCGTAGATGAAAGCTACCAATATTATTCCTTTACAAAGGTAACAGCAGTGAAGCTATAGATGTTTACTTTTTTCTTCCTGTATGTTCTTGCTGTAGTTTGTCCCCACAATAAACTTCTGTTGAGCAATAATTATTGAATATAATGAAGTTGGAAGCTATTTAAGAGGATTTGTTCTCAGAACACTGATTACTGCTCTCTAAACAGGTTGTTATTACATAGGAGAGCTCTCTGCCTTGTCTTCTTATCCATGCACCTGCCCAGCTTTCTCATAGATTGCTACCATGTGATGTCATCAGTCATGGTATGACATTTCATGAAAATCTCACTTGATGTGGCCAGTCCATCTTGAACTTCTCTGCCTCTAGAACCATGAGTCAAATAAACAGCTCCTCTTTATAAATTGCTTGGTCTTGTGTGTTCTGTTTAGCAACAACGACAAAAACATGCTAAGTGAGCAATGCATAAAATTTTCAGGCTTTGATGGATTTTACTGAAAACATGCTTGAGATGCTATTTGTTAAAGGAACCTATTAAAGGGTTAGGGACAGCTAAACTTATGAATTCACTGAAGCTAAGGTTTCCTGCACAAGATCAAGCCAATCAGCATTCTAGCATAGAATGGGGAGGAGTTTGTGAGCCCCCACCCCAGCTGGGGAGTTATAGACAGTTAATGGCCTCTAAGGGAGGAAGAATCAGTTTTCTTTAAGATGTGGCTCCAGTTAAGGCAACTGTAACTCCAGTGGATGGCCTTACCCCCAGGAATATATGGACATCACAAATTGGAGTTGATCAATTACTTTAAAAAAAATATATGAAATTGGGGGGTATATGGTGGTACAAGGCAGGATCTGTATGAACTTATAGAAAAGAATAGTGGAAATATGGTCAAAATATATTGTATGAAATTTATGAAGAGTTAATAAAATATTGGCATAAGATAAATGTTAGACTCCTTTTGCCAATTAAATCTGATGAATACATAAATATATTTCCAAATGCTCAACAACTCCTACCTTCTGGAATAAAGCACACTTTGCAAGTATCTGGAGTGACTACTTAGCTATTTGATGTAACGCTAATTTACATTTGGACATCTGTTCCCCAGGAACCTGCTCTGCTGCCACCCCTGTTAGAATTCTGCAGTACTGATGACCACCCCAGAAGAGATCTGTGGCACTTTCTTGTTTTCTATCCACTTAAATGATGAGATTTCACTTGAGTTCTTAGAATAAGAAAGGTATTTTAAAACCAATCTGTAAAATGATGAGACTGAACTTGAGATACTAGAATAAGAAAGATATCTCAAAACCAATCTGTTGTGTGTTCCATGTCTGTGTATCTCTTTTTAACTGTCTTCACTTTTGTTTGTGAAATGCCTTCACCATATCAAATGACATTAATTACTAGAGTGTCATCAGGAACAGACAACAAGATTGATGAAACAAAATTACTAGTCCAAAGCCCTCTTCAGAAGGAAGGACTTTAGTATAAAGGTGACTTTTCATTTTACAGGAGAAGATGGTATCGGGAGGAGCATGGTCCTAGCAAGCAATCTGAAGGGGACACCCGTCTTACTCCATATACAAAGAAAAGGCTCAAGATGGGTTGAAATGTAAGTAAACAATGATTTACTCTATGCAATTGACTAGTATTTTATCATTAAAAATGAGAACTAAATTCCTGTCTGTTGAGATGAGAAATCTGTCTACTGAACTAGGAAATTTAGGGGTAAAAAAAGATAAAGATATGGCTAATGTTTGATTTTTATGTCTAGGATGGTAGGATGGTTCTGTAATTACATGGTTCTCTGTATAGGATAATGGCTCTGGGAAGGTCAGGATAACACAGAGAGACCCACAGAAAAGTGCTGACTAGAATGTTCTGTGGTGATTACCCCGAGTTTTTAAAAGTCTGTGTAACTCCCTTCCTTGTGTTTGTCCAGTGACAGAGTCGGGTTTGACATGAAGCCACTATAAACAAGAAAAACATAGCAAAAAAACCCCATAATTTCAAAGAATAGTTATATTGCCTTTAACAAATAATTATTTTAAGATCCTGTGCCTTTAGTTTATTTGAATATCCAAAGTGATTTTGAAGGTTTAAGTAGCAGGTAGCATGGCACTTGATTATATTATATATTACCCTTTTCTAACAGAAATCATTTTATATAAGTATTTAAAACATAGCAAATTGGCTTTAATTAGAATAATGAGCATTTTCAATACCTAAGAATCTCAGTTATGTGTTATATGGGAAACCGTTAATCAGTAAATATAACTAAATCACTCCAATAAAAGTTAACCTTATATTTAAGTTGCACTGAAATCTTACAACTGCCCTGAAGTGATCCTTTTACACATCTTTAAGACACCAGCGATGAGATCATGTGACCTACTAATCATCTATATACTCTAAATGGCTGGGAAATTTAAAACAGAAGAGTGGTGCATGACAAAACTGTGATAAAGTCAAATTTCTGTGCCCATAAATGAAACTCTGAAATTTACTCATAAAGGACGCTATCATTTTCTTCTCATCCGAGTATCTACATAATAGCCTTGATTGTACCTCTTGGCCCTGGAGTCCCCAAATCTCCACCATCTGACCCTGCACAGGAGGAAACACAGGCAAGCATGGGTTACCTGTGGATTCAGCAGCCCTTGCCTCTCGCCTTGCTGCCTGAGGATTGCTGTAAGGGAAGGAGAGGTAGCGGAAGTTCTTGGTGCCTGCCTGTGGGTAACAAGAAGAAACAAAGGCAGAAGGAGCTACTGCAGTTTCTATTGGCCCACAGACGATAAAGGGAAGGATGCAGCCCCGGGCTGGGCAGTTCACTGACATTTAATAACTTTTGTTTAAAGGAAGCAAAGCACTTCTGAGCTCAATATCTACTCTCAATCTCTCTCTCTCTCTCTCTCTCTCTCTCTCTCTCTCTCTCTCTCTCTCTCTCTCTCCCCCTTCTCTCTGAAAGAACCCTTTTGAACCTTCCAAAGTTACTCTCATAGCCTCCAACAGGTTTAGAATCAGAGTCTATTCTAGACTCAGTCCCTGCATGATGAGCACTCTATAGCCTTAACTAGTAAGATGTCAGGGGCTCACTGGTGATGTGACGAGGAGGCTTGAGAGATGAAGCAAAAGTAAATCCTTCTAGTCAACATCCTGAGAGGCCTAGAAACTTTGGTCTGAGGAGGAGTTCTGAGATGCTCAGTACTCGGCCACCATGGGTTCTGGATTTAGACTCAGCTCAGGGATCACTCAATGTCACCTTGGAAAGCATCTCAATGCTATACTTAATTCACAGATGTCCAAGGCCCTGGAGTCCTGGATCCAGAGGGGAGGCTACTTCATTCACAGATGCTCGAGGCCCTGGGAGTCTCAGATTAGTGGTGGGGGGCTGCTTTGGTATGTTGCCCTCTATGGCTTTTTCATCTCTCTGGCATCATGTGAGGTTTTCAGTATGTAGTAAATGTTAATAGTGATTTACCCTCAGCTAATGAGGCTCTGCCCCAAGGATGGTCCCAGTTATTAGGTGACAGCCCCCACATACCGGCTTTCCCCAGGGTAGACTCTGGCCTTTCCGCATGCTCTCCCTCAGCGTGTTCTGGCGGCGGATCAAAATCTCCTTGGCCTGCTTCTCACTTGTTCGGGGTTTGAGGTTGTATTTGTTGTAGGACAGGGTCTGTAGGAAGAGCATAAAAATAGGCAGGTATGAAATCCAGGGCTACCGGGAGCTCCAGCAGCATCCGGAGACTGCTAGAGTGGGTAGACACAGCACCTGTGCTCAGCTTTGCCTCTAGCATGACTGAGAAAGCCTTTGTGGGAGGAAAGCCTGCAAGCAGACTCTCAGGCCTGGCTGTGTCTGTGGACAGTGCCTTCAGTAATCCCTGCAGCAGCAGCCCTAACACCACCTCCACCCACCCCCACAGGAGTCACCCACAGACTGTGGCTGCCCTGCACACGTATGTTCTTTCCCGGGTCATTATTACATGCTAGGCCCTCAGAGTTATTGGGTAAGAAAAATATTAAAATTAAA